ATGGAAGGACTTCATGGGGTTTTGTGTAGATTGGCGCTATTGCACGTCTCTTATGAAGATCTGGCCACTTCACTGTCTCTCCAACTAGAATAAAAGCTACTTATAGTCTGGAAAGTTTCTTTTGCTGTCTTCCTCTCTAGTGTACCATTTGGCATATAATAAGGGGATTGCAGCTCACAGAATAAATGACTGTATTAATCATCTCTAACTGTTCATTGGTTGTTTTTCAAAACCCTTTTCAATCTTTTTGTCATTGGCTTTGCTCCTTCCCTATTTCTCTGACCTCCAGCTTCGTATCTTATATTGTCTGGTGCATCTGTGCTATTTAATAATTGGCGTGCCTGGCTTTGCTTGAACTGTGTCTGTCTCCATGACAATTTCTCAATGACATGTATCGACAGAAAACATCTTATTCATTAATCGAAGTGTCACATTTTGACTTAAAATCCACATTCTCCCTGAAGATACATTTCTGTGAAAAAAAAAAAAAAAAACATTTCCCATCTAACAGGGACTGAGGTAGGAAAAAATATTTTTTATTATGAACTTGAGGTTTCAAATTAGCACTGTGAACTTCAGAACTTCAGCTGTTTCTTTAAAGCCAGAGCATTTGCCAGTGATCACTGGCTCTGGATGGTGTCTGGATTTCATCTGATGCACATACTATTTGGGTGGCCTGAAACACGAATGTGTTCTGCATGACAGGTGTGCTTGGCCATTGTTCCGCTGAAATTGACAGTGTCCCCGGGGAGGGGGGTATCTTGGAGCCTCAGTGTAACTCTCAGAGGGTACTGGGTCTGGACACAGATGCTACTAGTAGTGGCTATGGAAATCAATATATTTTAAATGGAGTTGCTGGTAAAGTAAGAACTAAATCTCTTGGGCTTTCATGCAGAATCCTCCCTATCTCTGGCCTTGCTTGGCTCCAAAACATCAGCGTCAGTCCATTCAGGAAAGAAACAAACCCCTGTGGGAATGCAGGTGTTGGTTCCAGGAAATTCCACAAGCAAGCAGTGGTGTCCTTCAGAAGACACATCTCACTGTCCTTGTTCACACATCACACTATGCCAGTGCACAAGCCCCTCTTGTCAGGGCAGATGCCCCTCTGTGCCTGCAAAGCATCTTGGAGAGGCTGGGGTAGCCCTGCTGGGGCCTGATGTCCATGTGTTGTGTGAGACCATGAACTTTAAGACCCAAGCAGAGCACACTTACCTAACTCTGAAGTACAGGAGACTCCAGCCCAAAGAGGATAAATTCTGGTGAAAAGCATACCACATTACTGGTTTGTTCCTGCAAACCTGATCTGGCTCTCCACTTCCCAAGGATGTGGAAAGTGCCAGATCCCCTTCACGCTGTGAGCAGGTTGCCCGTAGCCAGAGGCAGAAGGATCCAACCTGCCCCCATGTCTCCACTTATTTTATGGGCATAGTTCTCTCACCCTGTTCTGCTATTATAAATAAAATGAGGCACACATCACATGTCTCATACTGCAAGACCCATTTCCTTCTAATAAACTCTTCAGCTGCCTAGGTTTTCTCTGCCCTGCAAAGATGGAATCTCCAGAGGCTTCCATTATGGATTTTTAGTTTTTGACTTCTAGTTTTCTCTCTGCTATTTTGAAAGAAAACAAAGTTGTGAGCTTTGTGTGCTTCTACACACACACACACACACACACACACACACACACACACACACACACACACACCCTCTACCTAGGAGCCAGCAGATAGTCTATACATAGACTATAAAGGACAACTTTGTCCTGTGTATGTGAGGCCCGCAGGAAATAGACTCTGAGCTGACACTGCCCACCCAGTCCTGGGCTGGAGCAGGGCCCCCCTCTTTCCATGCTGCAGACATGGGAATCATGAGGGCTGGAGGCCTCAAAGGAACATGTCCCCTTCACAGCAGACTGCTCTGGGGTGACCCTTGCCTGAAGGCTCACATGCCCAGTAGCCCAAGCGTGAGGCAACTCAGACAGTGGTCTAGCAGTCATGTGGAGTTCGGGAGGCAGGCCCGCCAGGGCGCTCCTTTCCAGGCCCAGTTCTCAGACACCCCAGCCAGGCCCCTTGGGGGGTATCTGCATAAAGACACAGGTTGCTAAGATCTAGACACTGCAGGGCGACCATGGGAAGGAAGCAGCCCTGTGAGTGGGAGATGGCCAACTGGCTGACTGCTGGCGACTACTCAGGGAGTCCAGGATTCAGTCAGAGAGACAGGAGTAGACCCGCGTATGGTGGTCCAGAGAACAAGGGGCAGGCTGCAGCCTGCAGCCAGTAGGCCCATGGCCGCTTCTGTGCCCCTGGCGGGACCCTTGGTGCTCTGTGATATGTTCTACTATTGCAAGGTGTCTGTCAGCTCCTGTATAAAAGCCTGTTGTGGAGTCGAGAGGGGATCCAGCCTAGCCCCTGGAGAAGTGAAGAGCAAGGGGAAGCCTGACCTGGATTGCAGAGCCAAAGGCTGAGCCAACTTCCGGGTAGGGTGACTTACTCCTAAGGAGAGCCTCCCTCGTATCCTCCCACCTTTGGCATCGGGGGACTGTGGCCCCCTCTCCGATGTCCTTGGATGCTGTGTGCCATGGCCTCAAGCGGAGCCTCAGCTCCAAGCCCTGTCAGGCCACCCGGGCATGCTAGGAAGCATATGGCTACTCCAGGGCATCTTGGGCATGCTTTGTTAATGGCAAAAGCGGAAAAGTACAGACGAATCCCTTGATTCAGAATTTGGACTGGACTGAAATTTTTTCTATATCGTCAATGGAAAAAAGAGGGGCATTGGAACAGCAGATTTATAGGGTATGAAAGAGAACACAGACTTCCTGTTCTTCTCTTAAACACTTTAACAATGTCTGTGGATCCATGAAGGGAGGACTGGAAGCGCCGTGGGGATCCTCGTGGCCAACCCAGCTCATTTTACACATGAACACTCGAGGCCTTGGGGTTTGGCTGCAGACCTAACTAGCTAACCGCCTGGCTAGGGTCCCGGCTCACGGGCTGGTCTTCTTTTGCTGGAGCCCAAATATATTCACAGAAGGCTTTCCATGTACTGAATTAGTACTGATAATGAATTTTCTCCTAATACATGATCCTTATTTATTCAGGCCCATTATCCACTGAACAGCTGTCTATCTGGTGCCTCTGGGAACATGCAAAGACGAATAAAGTGTATGAGGAGCTTACAGCTCAGAGAAGCCAGTTTCTGCCCGAGTCATAGTCCTGAGATCACATGACAGACACAAATGACCTTCCGAACAGCCAGTAGAAAGGCAGAGAACTATGGCAATTGTCAACAACGATGCTTTTGTGTAATTTAGTGTGCTGTGCTTGGATTTGGACAGGGAAAGAGGAAGCAGAGGGGTTCCAAATAGAACTGGTAGAATAGTGTAGTAGTTTGAAAATCCTGAGACCTCTTTCCTTTAAAAAAGTGTCTTTGTAGATGTCATTAAGTTAAGCATCTTGACATAGGATGATTATACTGCAACATCTGGGATTCACGCAGTGCAATTACAAGTGGCCTGCTAAGAGAGAGACAGAGGGAGGCTACAGAAGGGAAGGAGGAGAGGAACCACAGAGGCAGAGTGAGGCAGCCACCAGCCAATGCATGTTGGCAGCCCAGAAGTAGGAAGAGCCAAGGGACAGACTTTCCCCTGATGCTTCTGGGGCAAGCATGACCCTGTCCACACCTCGGTTTTGGTCTAGTGATATCAATTTCGTATTTTAAGCCACCACCATATTTTTCATGTTTTATACCATGGGAGATGATACCAGGAAAAAGAAAAGCCTACTTGAGAAAGGATGTGGTTCAAGGTATTTGTGGGAGAATAGTTATATATTTAGAGTAGTGGTGAATAAATGGCTTAGAGCCCAGTGTCTGTATTAGTTTGCAACATTCCTGTAAAATTTCTGTGTGAATCCTACTTTCCCAAAGTGTAGGGCTTTGCAGGAGAACCATGGGCTGGTGAATGGGCCTTCAATGCTGCTAACTACTGAGATCCTCAGGAAGACACAACCAATACTCACTGAGTGGCATGATGGATGTGGGCAACTGCCATACCTGGGGATATGCCAGGCTTATTGATGAAAACCCAAACCTGGCCAAGTTTGTGCTCAGATACAATCAGTGGATCGCTCGTCTTCAAATGGTTCTAGAATTCCCCTGTCATGTATAGCAGAGGCACGATGGATTTGGAAATGTGCAGCCAGTTCTGGGACTAAAAGTTCGAGGGATGCTCTGAGGGAGGGAGCTGGGGGAAAGCAGAACAGTGTGGTTGAGAAAGAGGATGGGCAGTCACCTGCCGAGAGAAATGGTCTTTTTCATAGCAGAGTCAAATTCCCTGCAGGCCCTGAGAGAATGTGATTAAAGATGTCTTTTGGACTTTTATGACACTCTTATCGATCTGAGGTTGTTTATAGCCATAAAACAACTGTAAATTAGAGGAATGAAATAAAACCAGCAGGACACTGCACTACTCTTCTCCTGTGAGGTTGAAAAGCTTTCTGCACAGCTCCTGCAGCAAGAGGGAGTTGAAATATGTATGTATGTATGTGAGTAAGTAGGTATGTATATCTGCAAAGGGGAATCTCATTCTCCTTGTCTCATAATGACTGCCTGTTAAAAGGCAGCTTTCTTCTTACTGCTGAAAACTAATCCTCTTCGTTGCCTAGGAAGTGTCCTTGGCAAACACGGCTCTCTGCTGGGGCCCCAACTGGCTGTGCTGCCATGAGCTTTAGGGTGTTGTCTTTCTTTTTTTCTTCCCTTCCCCTCTCTTTCCTTACTTCCTTCCCCCCCCCTTCTCTCTCTTCTCCCCTTCCTTTTGTTTTATTCCCTTTGCTCTCGTTTTGCTTTAATCTCTTTTCTTTGGTAACTCTCGGCCACTTCTGCCTGATTAAAGGGTGTTTATGTATCTTGTCACAGTTAGGACTTTTCAGTGGACAATCACCAATCAGTTCTGTGCAATAAACCAACTCACGTGACCACTGTACTTTTTTGCTTTTCTCTTGTAGAAATCCGAGAGGCCTTTCGGGTTCTGGATCGAGATGGGAATGGCTTCATCTCCAAGCAGGAACTGGGAATGGCCATGCGTTCTTTGGGGTACATGCCAAGTGAGGTGGAGCTGGCCATCATCATGCAGCGCCTGGACATGGATGGTGAGCTCCCCTAGAAGAGTCCCCTGGAGGAACCCTGGCTCATCAGTGAGACCTTGGGTCTGGATGGACATTTGCAGTCCTAAGACTTGGGCTCTGTCTCAGTTTCCTTTGAAAAGTGGAAATTTGGAGTAGATGGGGTTTTTTCAAACACCACTCCATAGAGTTCCAGGGGACTGCAGAACACTTTCTGGGGCCACCAGGAGGAAGAAAAGGCTTTAAAACACACACACACAAATCACAGCTTTATTGAGATAGAATTTACATACAAAATCCACCCATTTAGGACTATTACACAGAAATCAGAAAAGATAAATGCATGCTGTTTGCAGCAACGTGGAGGGAACTGGAAGGGATTATGCTCAGTGAAGCAAGTAGAAAGTGAAAGAAAAATACTTAATAATTTCACTTATAGGAGGAATGTAGGGGAACAAAATAAGGGATCAGGAAACAATAATTATAATAAATTAAAAAACAAAATTAACAGACAACTATAAATCAGACATTCTGTAAGGGAGGGGGAGAGAAAGGGATCAAAACAGGGGATGGTAGAGCATAAGGGACTGTTGTGAAATGGTGGTAGGAACTTCACAGTGACTATACCTGAGAGGAGAAAACATATATTGTACAAAAAGGAAAAACTATATATACACACATATATATACACAACTACATATACATATATATATACACATACATATATATATATATATGTATGTATGTATGTGTGTGTGTGTATATATATATTCCACTCATTTAACCTGTATAATCCAATGGTTTTTATGTATTCATGGTTCTGTGCAACTAGCGCTACAATAAATTTTAGAACATTTTTATCAGATCCTGGAGCTGCAAACCATCACCTCCCAGCCCCTCTAACTCCAAGCCCTAGGCAGCCACTAATCTACTTCTCAACTTTACGGCTTTGCCTGCTCTGAGCTGCATAACCAGAGTCACACGGTTGGCTGCCCGTTGCGACTCACCTCGTTCATGCAGGATGTTTGCAGGATTCTTCATGGATTACAACATGAATCACTATTTCATCTTTTTTGTGACCCGATCCTATTCCATAATTTGTATATAACAGCTGTTTGTTTGTTTTTTTTTTCCTGTTTTCTATGCTGGGTTTCTACATACAACCTCACTGGGGAAAGGATTTCCCTATACTTGACAAATTGTGAAGAATGACTGCCTTAGATAATCTTTCAAGTTCTTTCCTTCCCTGAAGCCCTAAGAGTTTATCCAAACTGGCAATGACTCTCCTGACATTCTACCTTCACTAAGGGCCCAGGAAGAAGCTTTCTTATTCATTTTATTTTTTAACGTATACATATCCCCTTTGAAAAGCAAATTGTGCCCTCCCTGGTGGCGCAAAGGGTTAGAGCACAGCACAGCAAGCGAGCTGAAACAGCTTCAGTGCATTTGATCCTTGGCCTGGAGGTGACCCACATGGTGCAGCAGACCTCTCCTGACTCACCCACTGCTCTCCTCAGCAGCGTGCTTTGTCTCGATCTGCCTGTTCTGCTCTCCTCTGTCTCTGGTGAATCCTCTCACTGTCTCTGCACCTCTGGCCTGTACCCCAGATATGTATGCATAAATGAATAAATCTTAAAAGGAAAAACAGATTGATGGCAGGTATAGGGAGTCCAGCATGGTGGGCTTTGGGGACTTGGGTAGAGTACAGAGAAGAGACCAACTGAAAGAAGGTAGCACGGGGGCAGACAGGCTTTTGAAGGAACAGACCAAGGTCACAGAAGGGTCATTTCTGGTGTGCAGCCTCACTGGAAGAACATAGTTCCCTCTTGTTTTCTTACTTGACCTGTTGGGAGGATGGTAAGGGTTACTACAGGGTGAATGTACCCCAAGGCCAGCCACTAAGTGCAGCTGTGGGTATTTATTTCCTGGCTTCCACAGAGATGTTGTTTCAGGTATGTTCAGCTGGAGGGGCCATCCCAGCCTGTCCTTACTGTTCTGACTGCTTCTGATCACAAGTCCACGTGGCCTGACTTGACCCTTCTTTATAGTTTAGAGGTCTTTCTGAAAAGCTGGAGCTGACACTTGTGCTAGAGCAAAGCAGATTCAATGGAATCCCACTTCAGAGATACATTTCCAGGAAAAAAGTTTCCTCCTTAAAATAATAAAAACCTTACTCTGTATCTCTGTTTATGGAACTCAGAAAATCCTGGGCACTTGATTCTTCCACAGCTCCTGTAATAAGACCTAGTTAAATGGGCAAAAAGCAAATGGAATTAGCAACATTTAATAAAATGAGCTGGGACATTTGTGGGAGAGTAACTCCTGTGAGCTTCCAGGGTCTTCGTAAAATCCCATCCCCATTCACTGTGCATTTACTCATTGACCTTGGCTTCTGCCGATTTCTTATGAGCTGGCTTGCAAATCCTCCCTGAGGACTTGGAGTCCCCAGGGATCTTTGGTGATGGTGTTATTCCAGGGACTCTTCAGGACACAGGCAAAAGCTCCATCTGGGATGCAATTTAAAAGACTTCAGGTTTCATCATTTTATTTGCATCTTACCATACTCGGCTACCAACGCTAATGGCAGAGCTTGAAGCAAATCCTGTAGAGACTCCACTAGTTTCTTCAACAAAAGCCCAAGTCATCAGCTATTTCACGGTGACCTCACCAGGTAAAAACATTTATTTATCTTTGAAGTGCAGCTGCCTTGAAGTTTTGTTGTGTTGCCTACAAAGATTTAATCCAGAACATATGAGAACAGCGAAGCAGTAGAGGCTCCGTGCTTGATGCAGTTTATTAAGCGCTTAAATGTGGAAAGAGCTAGGTGAAAAATGCCCCGACTGAGGCTGAAATGTGTGTCTTTAAGTGTTTTGTAAATGATGCTGGAAAGTAAAGTTTCCGGGGCACTGAGTTGTGGATATGGGTGGACTATTTTGCAATGTGTCTTTCTCTTAATGGGGTCTTTTGAGCTGTTCTGTTTTTTAAAAAGTCAGATTCTAATTATATCCTTCCTGACTTCTGCAACTGGGGAATCTCCACAGAGATTTGGTCCTTCCTAATTAAACTTACTTGTGGAAAGATTTTTATGGGGATGATGTAAAAAAAAAAGTTTGGGCTGCAATTTAGGATTGTGTGCCTCCTGGCCTGCAGTCTCTGGTCCCGGGGTTCTGGGGCAGGAGAGGTGGCAGTGCCTTCATCCACCCCAGCTGGCCACGATTAAGCGTGGGTCTGGCACACACACCAATCTTTTCCTTTTGGGGTCCCTGCTGTTTTGCCCGATGGTGAAGTCATACCTTGGGCACGAGGCCCAGCTGGAATTAGCCTAAGTGTGTCTGTGCAACCTAAGTCGACACAGGAGGCTTTCATTAGGTGGTTCCCTGGGAGTGGGGTGCCTTGCTGGCTACACATGTAACAGTAACCTCCCTGGATTAGGGAACTCGCCTGGATTTCCTGAACACAGCCTGCAGGAGCCAGACAGCTCCAGTCTGTGTGAGGGACTAGTTTTCCTTAACATAGAATGGAAGAGAGGCAGCAGGGTCTGGGAATGCTCTTCTGGCCCACGGCCAGTTTGCCTTCAAGTTCTGGGACTGACTGTGTGTTCCCGTGTGCGTGTGTACCTCATGGGCTGAAATGCCAGGCGAAAGCAGAAAACCAAAAACTTCTGCCTGATGCCTAAGTTTCTTCCTTGACTATATTTGCCGAGGTCTTTTTTCTTGAAACTTTAAAACGCATCCTGCATCCCTTGGTGATTTCTTTCATCAACTGCTGCAGCACAGGTAAACGATTTGACACTAGGTCGAGATCAGGATTCACTTTTTATAGATGCTTTTTATCAGGACTTCCCTTTCACCCCAGATTCTGGATGCCTGACTTCTTAGGTAGGTTTCTGTAGGTTTTAAGCTCAGGGTCCAACTTCAGGCAAACTGGAGATCAACTTTTCTCTAATGCATCACAGTACTTACTAGTTATAAAGCATCGTTGGAAGAAGTGATGTAATAGTCACCCAAAACTTAAATCTTTTATGGAAGTGGGCTGAGAAGGATATGTGAAAGTGTGTGTGGGCTCTCTGGTCTCCATCTGCTCCCCTCTGCTCCATCATGTCCCAGAGCTTCCTGCCTCATTTCCTGTGGCATAGGGCATGGTAGCTTCAATCTCCAAGGGATATTTTTGACTGCTTTCTAAATTTTAATGGTTTCACTAACCACACATGATGATTTTATGGACTGAATCTATCTAGCTTTGCAAATAATTTCCTGAAACAGTCAAGCCAGGAGGGGTCCCTAGCAGCCGAAGGCCCTTGCAATGTCCAGCTCACATTTTTGCATGCAAATCCCTCCTCTCCTAAGCTGCCACCCCATCCCCTCTGTTGCATGCAAGGAAAAATTCCTCTTTGAAACAAGGGCCACGGCTGACCTACCTTCTTTCTCCTTGGGTTTCCTCCTGCTTTTCAAAGTTGTAGCATCTCATGAAATTCCAGTAATTTACAGTTATGAAATGAATTCTTTTCTCTCAACAGGCTTGTAGCTTTTTTTTTTTTTTTGGTTCACTCTCCACTGTCTGATTGGTGAATTTGATTCAATTTTGTTTGGTTTTAAAAAGCTCTCCCTAGCATCCATTGTGTCTGAACTTGCTTGTTTTTATGACTGGCAGGATTCACTTTTGGTTCATTTTGAGCTAACTCAATGAGCTGCATAGAACAAAATTATGGCCAGAATCACAGGAAAGAACAAACAGTATCCAGGTTGTTAGCCTATGTGTCTGCCTTAGCCTCTCACACGCTCCCCGTTCATTACAAGTGTTGAAGGCTTCAGTTTGCTGCTCGGTGGTATGGTGGTGACTTTGCTGTTTTTGCTGGCGATTTCTTCAAGACAGGAAAGAGTCTCGGCTTCATTGCAAATGGCTCTCATTTACACTTTGCAGACACATCAGGCACTGGATCTAGTACTCTGGAAATGGCATGGGTCTGTTTTGTGGACTTAAACATATACTTCTTTCCTGTGTGTGGGGGAAGGTGCCTGAAGATACCT